CCATGATCCACCCGAACCTGCTTCTTGCAAACAGTGGATCATGGGAGGTGGGCAGCCTCGGATGTGAAAACACTGCCAGGCACCAATTTCCCCAAAGTTTGCAAAGCTGGAAGTGCGAAAACATCGACAGGCACCAATTTCCCCAAAATCCCCAAACTCTGGGCAACTATGGCCCGGCACGCCTCATAGATGCCGGGATTTGGGGGATTTTGGGGAAATTGGAGCATAGTGAGGTTTTGGCACTTCCAGCGTCACAAACTTTGGGGAAATTGGTGCCTGGCGGTGTTTTGGCAACCTCGGATGCGAAAACACTGCCAGGCACCAATTTCCCCAAAGTTTGCAAAGGCGGAAGTGCGAAAACATCGACAGGCACCAATTTCCCCTAAAATCCCAAACTCTGAGCAACTATGGCCCGGCACGCCTCATAGATGCCGGGATTTGGGGGATTTTGGGGAAATTGGAGCATAGCGAGGTTTTGGCACTTCCAGCCTCACAAACTTTGGGGAAATTGGTGCCTGGCGGCGTTTTGGCAACCTCGGATGCGAAAACACCGCCAGGCACCAATTTCCCCAAAATTCATACAGCTGAACTCTGACGGCCTCCATAGATGCCAGGATTTCGGGGATTTTAGGGAAATTGGTGCCTGGCGAGGTTTTGGCACTTCCAGCCTCACAAAGTTTGGGGAAATTGGTGCCTGGCGGTGTTTTGGCAACCTCGGATGCGAAAACACTGCCAGGCTCGAATCTCCAAGATTCCTGAAACCTGAAATGCAAAAGTCATAGAAGAACAGCCGTACCATGTGCTCATACATGAGCCTTCAATTGCTTCCGTTCTCAAGTGTGCTGTTGCTTCTTTCATCGAACAAAGTCATAGCTGTTGTTAAGATCACCTTTGCTCAATGTAAGAAATAGAAGAACAGCTGTACTTTAGAATATTGAAACCTGCGCTTGTGTTTGTGGATGCTTTAGAACGTTTTTTTTTGCGAATGCACATGTTCGTTGAACTGTACATCATGTTTAGATGCTGTCGAGTTCTTAAACTCTTGCCCGTAGCTTGAACAAAGAAGAAGTATTCCTTGTATTCTATATTACCTCACAAACTGAAGAAGCTCATAAGCTCCGATATTTCATATCATTACATATAAGGTGCCATTCAGGCGACACTGGGGAACCTGGTAAATGAGCTTTCAACTGCTTCGATTACTGGCGGTACTAACTCTTCTCTCGTGGAGCAAAATCATAACCGAGTCAAGGTCAACCTTGCTCAAGAAGTAAGTCCAGTGTTTGACTGTTTTCCTTAAAGCATAATGAGAAAATATGTTTTCCACCATTTCTTGGAGGCTATGAGGAGAGGTCTGGAGCTGTTTCATGCTGTATTCAAAGATGGCAGGAGCTATATAACTCTTGCGAGTAGCGCGGTGCAACGGAGCTCGATTATGTGTTCTGAGCCAGGATCGTCTTGCATCTGTTAAAAAGAAAAACAAATGTGTTCAATAACGAATGCTTTCCAGATACATGCTTGTCTTAATTCCCACGAAGTATAAAGCGTAAGAAGCTCGACATACTATGCTTGTGACCGAATGTACTTGGAGTTTGGTGGAGGGAGACCATGTCTTTCTAATCACTCCGATTTTGTGGTATTGGTATACTGCAAGAGCTCGTTGAGTTCCAGCCACTGAGTTCCAGTGACTGATAAGGGACTAAGGTGGCTTATTGTGTTTCTTTGTGCTGAAACAAGATTTCTATTGATAACACCACCTGAACAAGAACAACCATGCTTCCCTTGTCGGTTGAAATTTTGAAGATATGATGTTGTTCGAGGTTCCCTTGAAGCATGAAAATACACGGGCATTCCTTTCCATGTCTGATGGGCAACACCTCTGTTTAGTGTGGTTACAATGTTGCTAGTAAGCCAAACATACCACTGGCATGTTTGCTTTCACTGAAGGAGTTGTCCTTACAGCTTATGTTATGAAGAGAAGAGCAGCTGTGTCTATTCAAACTGTACATCGTAAGTAGTTCGACAAACTCCAAAATAGGAAGGCCAAGTTTTGACTTGAACAGCAAGAGCTGATACGAAGCAGTGGACAAGAGCGCGGCAGCAGAACCAGAATCTGGTTTCGGTTTTGGCTTGTTTGTATATGATATAAAAAGCGAAAAGCCGCATCTGTACATGTACATGAACTGCATAAAACACCGTAAATACCGATAGATTCTGACTTTAGCAATACGCATCTTGTACCAGAGGACAGTACAGGAGTAGTTGAGGAGAAGGCTGGGGTGGATCATGGGGGGTGGGGGGGGGGGTGACCATATATATATATATATATATATATATATATATATATATATATATAACTCTATCTGGTCTGGTGGCCTGGTGGCTACGAGGGCCAATCGGCCAATCCTTGTGGTGCGAGACAGCCCAATTAACTCCAAAGCCAGCACGTCGAATGACACGAAATACTCAGGGTCTACCTATTGTTTTTTGGTTTAACCGGTTTTATATCAAGGATCCTAAAAAGGTAACCCAAAAAAGGAACTACAATGGAGACTATAGGTAGGGTCTTGGGAGTTGTGCTTCGGGGCTTTCAGAGCTAAGGACTGAACGAACACAAGTTCCGCAACAAGATGTAAGTCTTATGGGTGGTTGTTTATTATAATACGGCACCTAATATTTAGGGTACCCCAAAAAAGGGGGCCCTAATTTTGACAACCACCCATATCTATAACGTGCTTCCAAAACCCCTTGAGCCTCTAGTCAGGGTCCAAGGAAGTGCCTAGAACTTGGAGCACAAGTAATTCCTAGGTTTCCGTTCTCACTGGCGGCACAGGGTGAGACTCAAGTGCAAGTCGCCAACTTGCGCACTGCCCCCGTACAGAGTCTATTGTAGGGATACCAGGAAGGGCCTCATGTATCTGAATTCCAACTGTTACTCAGTGGGGGCAATACGGGAGTTTTCCGAAAATAGGGGACCCTAATCTAGTACCCTAAATAGTAGGGTTCTTATTATAAGGACCCCAAAATACGGTACCCTGCTGCCGGTCTACGAAGGTTTGGGCTTGGAGTTTAGAGCTATATATGCGGTTGGCCTACATAGGGTTATGAAAGGTTGAGGGTCGAGGGTTGCAGGGCTCCCGGAAATACCTGCATGAGCTTTAATGGAGCCCTTATGGTCCATCATAGTGGGGATTTAAGGTATATAGAGTGTAGTTGGGGGGTCCAAGAAGGTTTGGGCTTGGGGTTTAGAGCTATAGTATGAGCAAGGTGCGCAGTGCAAGGGTCACCAGCTCCGCGACAGCCAAGGTGGCGGCACCGAGGGAACAAGATCTGCGCAAAACAGCTGCTTCTGGGTTTACCATAAACCCTAAAGCCTAGGCCCTAGACCCCTAAACCCTAAACTCGTCACTGAAGAAACTGCTGCTCGAGGATGGCTGGTAATTAATTTGGGCATCTGTGGAAGGTGGCTAGGGGTTAAGGCGAAACGTGCTTTGTATGACACACTCAGCTCCAACAGATGGAGAAGTTCATCCGGGAGCTTGCGCGATTGTTGAGCTTACCCCGCAAAGCTTTCCGAGTCCCCTTCTCAGACTCTGCCCTGGTAGCTGTTTACATCACTCCAGTTCTCGGGCTTTGACTTTTCAAAAATCCCGAAGCTCCAAACCCTAAGCCCTACACCTAATTTCGGGGCCGCAATACTTCCAATGGGGTTTTGGGCCACATTGTACTATACAGTTATAGTATATAAGGAACCTCCAAAAACAGTATTGGTAATTATTTGAGCCCCTGTAGTACACTTACACCTTTGTATCAAAAAATCAAAAGCCCCAAGCCTGAGGGATGCCAAACAATCAGACTGGGTATTGGGACATTTGGACTCCTTTAGGACATCCAGCCTCTTAAAGCCTTGAGAAATGGACTCCTGCAAGAAACCCAGGGTACTTGCAAGTGGTAGACCCCGAAACCCTACCAGCAACCCCCAAAACCCAAAACACTAAAACAACTCCCATTAAAACATAAAACCCAAAACATCCCTGACCCCTAAACCCTAATCCCCTAACCCGAAGCTCTGCAGGAAATCCTAAACCCTTCTGCTACCCTTCATGGAATGCTTATGGTACCCTTAAAGATAAGGGAACCCTTACAGATCCTCACAGATCCGTTTATAATAATCCTTATAATCCGTTTAACGGAACCCTTATAGATCCCGTTAAAGGAGCCCTTATAGATCCCTTTAACGGAACCCTCGGAGCGCCAGCCTCATTAGCTGCACATGGGAGAAGTTTGCAGAGGAGGGCCGAACACCATGGGCAAAGCCGTGGCGAAGCGACAACCTAGCCGAGAATTTAAGATGGGGTAATAGGGTTCTTTCTTTTAAGGGTTTCGGGTTCAGGGATTGGGGATGATTGGGGTATATGGTTCTTTCTTTCAGGGTTTAGGGTTTAGGGATTAGGGTATAGGGTTCAATCTGTAGGGTTTAGGGGTATAGTCACGGGTCCCCGGTGTAGGGTAGTTTAGGGTGTAGTGAGGCTATGTTTGCTTTGGGAGTTTCGGCGTTCACACTCGGATCGGCATGAATGGGGAGGTCAGCTGAGGTGAAAGGAAAAGACGCCAGCACTTCCGAAATGATTTCAAGCACGCGCAACTTGCCTGGCGAGTTTCAAGTCAACTGCATACTGTGGAGACCATGCAGGATAAAGGCAATATAGAGGCCTTAATAGTCAGACAAGCCTACTATATCATAACTGCTTAGGGACTATAAGGGGGTACTACTAGAAATTGTGATGTCCCTATTCGCAGAAACATGTAACCGGCTTGCATGCCAAACATTCGGACGCTGAAGCAACGTCAGAAGCTTCCACGATACATTTCATCCAATCCCAACAAAACACTTCAACTCTACGTATAGCCACATGGCAAGGTCTTGAGAGGTCAACAAAGAAATCCGGCCCATAACCCAGTGGACACAGCGAACTTTTTCACTCCTGGCGTTGGCTCGTTCAGGTTGCAGGGCTGTTGGAGGCCGGAGGCAAGGCACTTACGGCGTCCAGTGACTGATAAGTCGCGACCTGTCGTTTGACACAGCGGCAAGATGATACGGTTTCCTGGCCTTGCCTTTCCCGTCTGTAAAACAAGCACATGCCCTGGAGGACCAAGAAAAGCATCACCAAAAGGAAAACTGTAAGCTGAGTTGGTGAGGGGTCCTGCACAGCAGGAAGAAGTGACCCCCAGATCAAGCCGCCACACATATAGGCGTATTCATATGCCAGGAAGCAGCACAAGAAGGCGGCAAAGCGCTGCATTGGACCATCACCGAAGGACAGAACAAACTTCAGCATCCGCAGCATGACTGGATAAGTAAGTGGGAATGTCAACAGGATGCCGAGTGCCCAAACCAATGTGTTGCACAAGAGGTACAGGGACGTCGAAGAAAAACCTGCCGTCCGTGCAGATTCCTCACAGGAGCCGTAATCGCAACCCAGCACGTCCACGGAGGCATACAAGATCATAGGTAAACAGGTGATGAGACACAGCGGCCACGCTACATGGACTTCATCGCCGATCTGGGTCATGACAATGTCACGAAGGACACCTCGAACGTAGGCATTGAAGCGATCCAGCGGGTCCTCGTCGGCCTCAAAGCGCTGAACAATCAGCTCCCCTTCATCTACCGTAGAACCGAGAGTGGGCAAGTCCTGCTCGCCAAAAACTTCCTGCAGATGCTTCTCAATGGCACTACGGTCCGACGGCTCAGAGCAATTTGCTGCCCGCACGTCGAAGTCTGCCATTTGATCCAAAACAAGCTGGTGATGCCGAATCTTCATGCGGAAGGAGAAGAAGCTGGGTATAGAAGCCGGGAGCGTGGAGAGTGATGAGATCATGCAAACTACAAACCAACCAATACCCTTCAATATCGTCGGATTGTCTCCCACAAGTGTCGCGGCCAGTCCCATAACACGCGAGTCCCAAGCTGTCATCCAACTGGGGAACACATGCTGCGAAATATCCATCAAACTGGCACTGAGAAGCTCCAGCAACATGCAGCACAGCAGCCAGGGAGCAAGCCACAAAGGCAGTACATCAAACTTCTCCACACCTCCAAGCCGAGCGAAAGTGCCGAGCTCTAGATTGCACCACAACCTTTCAAAGTAAGACACATCACAAAGGATGAGCATGCGGGAAGCGCGCGCGACAAAGGTGGGCACGGACTTGATTTGCTCGGCTTTCAGCTCAAGATCGGTCTGATGGATGCACAACCTGTCTATCCAAACAGACGGAGACCATAGCCCGAAAGAAAGCTGCTGCCCAAAAAAGAAGACCATGAAAAATATGATCATCGGCAAATACACAAAGAATGGGAGAAGAAGGGGACTTCCCCCGAGGCCAGACACCCCATGCAAGGAGATCATCAGCCCCACAAAGAAGATCCAAGTCATTACGCAACATACGACGGCCCTCTGCAAATTCAGATACAAGCACAGGGCCAGAAACTTCTCGCAGCGACCTGCGCTCCAAGAATGACTGATGAAAAGGTCCACGCTGGTTGTCTCCACGGATGCACCGAACAAATTATCCCCGGCGTTCTGCAATTGCTCCCTTGTGGGAAATCGGATGCCGCCGTATCCGCCGGCCCGGAGCAGTGTCTGGAGGTCCTGGTTGAATATCAGAACCCTAAAGTTTAGGGTTCTGAAAAACTTTTAAACTTCAACAAACAAATATACGTATGTATGTCTATATATATATATATATCCAAAACTCAACCCGACATATAGGTCCCGGCTGAATACCATAACCCTATAAACCCTAATCCCCCAAACCCTAAACCCAGGTCCTGGTATGAATATCATAACCCTAAACCCAAATCCCCCAAACCCTACACTCTAAACCCTAAACCCTAATCCCCCAAACCCTACACTCTTAATAAACCCTAAACCCTAATCCCCAAACCCTAAACCCTGGTCCTGGTTGAATATCATCCCGAGGCCTTTGAGCAGCTCTCGAGTGGTCGTGCTGCGCAGCGCGCAGCTAGCCTGGGCTCTTGCTCAGGAATTCGTTTCAGTTACCATATTACATATTACCCATAGGCCCCAAAGTAGTTCCTTTTTGGGACTACCTTATAGGATTCTATATACGAACCCCAAAAAGGAACTGCTTTGGGGCCTTAGGGTAAGGATCTATAGCACATAATATGGTTTCCTTATTATGGTAACTTAAATCAAACCCATTAAGAAAGTCCCAGTAGCTGCTGCTCCTTCGGCTGCATCGAAAGAGAGCGGACGCCGGAGCCGGTGTTCGGTAGGCGGCATTGCACAGCGCAAGGTCTAAGCATGAAAGAACTACCCAAAGGCTCCAGAGTAGTTCCGTTTTGGGGTTCATACCCTCTGGAGGGTTAAGGGGGGTTTTCCCGTTCACATCGCGAGGTTGAACGGAGCGGAGGGCGGTCCAGTAGTCTATAGTGTCTGCGGGGTATGCAGAAGGTCAGTCGCCGTAAGACTGGCAGAGTTGTGTTAATGACGCTAGAGATACGACGGCTGTTTCTGGTTTTCATGAAGAACAGCTCTGATAACATCAGCATGATCCCGGGCATCGATGTGGTACGACATGCTACTGCACGCCACCACGGTAACCATCGCATCTTCATCGCCATCATCAGAACCATCCAGGTATCTTCGGGTCTCTGAGCATCATCCTTGCAAGCATGACCGACGCAAACCACACCATCACCATCAAACTTGACCATCCCAATGCCAATAATTACCCTGAGTCGACAGCCACATGGCACAGATACTGGCCTTCAGATGTCAGTCTCATAGTGCAGGGAATAACAACCAAGCGCGCATGGTGATGGAACTTGTCGCCATCACAGTTTTAGGGTTTAGGGTTTAGCAATCTTAAGCGCTACTATCGACCACTATAAGCCCTGAGCTATTCTGCCCTCCAGGGCATACGGGCCGGCCTTTGGGGTGCACCGCTGTTGTAGTGGGTAAAGTCTTCGTGCCCCTTAAAGTCTTCGACCCACAATAGAAATATAATCTTCATATATCTTAATCATCTCCTGAAGCTCGTTTTCATCATCTCTTGGAGCGCTTTTCGCTACAATAAACAACCTCCTAAGGTACCGTGACGTACCCACCTCCACCCCTAAAACCGAAACCCCCTGAACCCTAAACCCCTAAAAACCCTAAAACCGAAACCCCGAGACCCCAAGCCCTAAAACCGAACCCCAAACCCCTAAACCCTAAAACAGAAACCCTAAACCCTAAAACCGAAACCCCAAACCCGTAAACCCTAAACCAGATCATCTCAGGATTCGAGCCCCGGGCCGCTGTACTCCACGGCGCCATCCTGGTCCATTGTTGGGATAGGATTGACCCTATGCCTCCAAGGACCTTATTATGGGGTCCTTAAAAGGTCTAGGGCCCTCTAACTATGAGGTCCTTGGAGGGATAGGACTAAATATGTACATTTTATTCCTTATTGGGTTCAAGTATCCATAAAAAATATGAAATGTTACCCAACCATGGCAAAGCATCGATGTCCGAACTCTTTGGAGGAGTCGGTGCCTGTCATGCCATCGCAGAGCTACTAAAGCGGCCCAAATAGTTGCCAAAACTATTTTTTGGGGGGATCCTTATCTAGGTCTAGTATCATGGGCCCCAAAACCCTATTCTAATTATTAAGGCTCCTGTATTACGGCTCAAGATTGGGGATTTTCTGGCCTCCCACCTAGCCAGGACGAGCCCGCATTGCAGGGATTGACTCGGAAAGTAAGGTGTAATGTAGGAACCTGATTAAGAGACCTTGGGCCTTTATGAGGGATCCTTATATGAATCCTACAATTTTGGGGGTATTATAGGCCCAGGGTTTCTTAATCAGGTTCCTACATTACATTAGAAGTTCGGTTCGTAGGGGACTTACGCTCTCGCACCTCGGACTCTGCCAGACCAATGGTTGAGGGTTGGGCTTCCGGTCTTTTTTTGAGCACCCTTTCTTGCCGTTGCTGACGTCCTTGCCAGCCGTCACAAGACCCAACGATCAGGCGTCTTCCTCATCCATCGAGCATCCCGGTTTAGGTCTGGGGGTTTAGAGATTGCAGTTTGGGATATTATCGCTTGAGGAGAAGCATGCCACTTAGGTTGCGTCCGCACAGGTCTTTACAACTCGAGTCGTGCCCATGGACTCTTGAGTTGGTGTTTATGGTTTCGGGTGTATCAAGATCACGATCCTTAAGGACGGGCTAATTAGGATTTGCAGCTCGCTGTTCACCCACGTGGTACTAGTACTGGCTGGTATTAGTACTCGTACTACCTCTTGTCTTCTCGCCGACAACCACTCACTCTACACTAAGCATACTAGTAGAAAAGGATCGGAACCAATCACATGGCTTGCGGGCTTGACAGCTACCGTGGACAGGACAGGGGCATGCAGAGATTGATGCTGCCCTCTTGCCAGTTGAGGTTGTAACGAGTAATGTAGATGAGACGGCCTGCATGAGCCCTGAACCACGGATCAATCAATCGAGCAGCACTGAGCCCTAAACCTTAGAAGCTGCCCCCACCCTGCAATAGTGACTATAAGGATTATATTATACCACTATTACGGGGTGAGGGCAGCTTCGAACCTAAACCCGATAAAGCCTAGCTTCGACTTGGGGTGGAGTTCTGACAGCTCCGGGTTACTACTTTGCGCCATGAAGATAAGGACTCTTTCGTTGAGGCCTTACGCGAGCCTCCAGCATTAATTCAGTCCTACTTGATACATACTGCACTCCTATAAATAAAACCTGACTTAAATCCTTAACCCCGAAATCAATAAGGCCCTAAAAGGCTAGCAGCTTGCAAACCCTCCTGAACATAACCCCTTTTGCTGCAGGCTTGCTTGCAAGGACGCCTGGTAGTTTGCCGCTCTTCAGCCAGTTAGGACTGTGCTCGCAACATAACCCCTAAACCATGAACTTCAAATACCCTAAACCCTCCTACCCCGCCGCCCTAAATCCTGCCCCTAAACCTTCAACCCGCTAAGCCAGTAGTAGAAAACAGAAATTTGGAACATCATTTTCCTCAACCCCTTAATGTACAGTATATGAAATCCCAGCACTAATCGTCCTAAATCCTTGTTCCAACTTTCTGGGGTTCACTGTAGGGACTATAAGGCTTATACTATGAGGGTTTAGGGTTTTGGGTTTAAACCCTAAACCCAAAACCCTAAAATCCTAAACCCTTGTTGACTTTAAGCCCTAAACCCTAAAATCCGAAACCCTTGTTGACTTTAAGCCCTAAACCCTCAGGAGCCGGCGTAGGCTAGCCGCAAACCGGGCGAAGTCATGGCGAAGCCCGCGGAAGCGCGTGCGGTCGCAGTTGAAGTCCGGAAGGGCGCGGTCCTGCCCAGAGACTCCAATACCCATAGGCCCTATAGTAGTTCCTTTTTGGGATTACTTTATAGGATTCTAAATATGAACCCCCAAAATAGTAGGATCCACATCAAGAACCCTAATAAAGACCCAAGGTTTCTTAAGGTGTATTTCTTACTTCCCTTCAGGAGCCCTTATAGATTCCCAGAAAGGGGCCCTTCGGCCTTGGGTATATTCCTTAACTAAGCCCAAAGGGTCCTATGTCCTGTTATGGGGGATACTTCCCTAAGTCATAATAGTAATTCCTAATATGGAAACCCTGCATTCTATTCTATTGGTACATAGGCCCTATAGTAGTTCCTTTTTGGGATTACCTTATAGGATTCTAAATATGAACCCCCAACAGGAACTACTATGGGGCCTTTGGGTATGCCGTTAAGGAATATACCGTAAATCAAGATAGGATCCGTAATATGATTGTAGGAGGATTCCTTGTTTCAGGGATACACGAGTCCCTGGGTAGGTCGATATATCCTGTTACAGGGACGACGAGGGTTCCTATAAAAGGATATAAGGGGACCTGTAAGGTTTAGGATTAAGGGGCTTATGTTCAGGGGTCTAGGGTTTAGGGGTTAGGGTTGAAGGTTTAGGAGTCTGAGGCTTTGAAAGAGTATGGTGTTGTTACCGGTAGAACATACTGCGATCTGCCCCTGCTATGTAATACTAATCCTCACACAGCTCCAGCACGACGAACTTGAATGATTGTCATGATTTCGAGCAGATTGACAAACTGCCTACTTATGATCAATATCCCCAACCTGCATCTGCATCTCTGCTGAAGCAGAACACCTTCTCAAATGCCAGGGAGCCTAACACCAAGCACTGGACCCTGTGAGCACACGCCGCCAATGGCTGGAACAACCTCCGAACCCTAAGGCCTGAACCAACTTCAGTTCTCGCCGAACAAACCCAAATCCCGAAAACCTTCAATGCCCGAAAACCCACACCCTAAACCCTTCAGAAGCCAATACAGCCGTTGTGCATCCCTTGCCCTTGCAGTAAGCCTCAGTGACTCAGTGTAAGCCT